TGTACTTTTACAGGAAAGAGGCAAACTTAGAGATGGAGGAAGCAGAAAATGGAATCACAGTGTGGGTCGACAAACAGAGGCGCTCTATTCGCATCAGCTGACACACAGGTAAAGCTTGATTAAATCAATCACAATGAACTGCAAATGTTTCATCAGCTCAGGGAAACCTAATACTTCTAAAACTGCAACTCCAACCCTAATCCACTGACCCTGGGAGGAGTGTGTCTTTGTCTGGAGTCAGGTGTGTCCAAATACAAACACAATGCACTTATCTTTGCTTCACAGGCGTCTTCAGACAGGGGCTGCTCTACAAAGCACAAGAACTTCAGCTCCGCATGAAGCTTCAAGAGCTAACATCTCTAACAACTGCTGACCTCGGCCCTGAAAATAAACGAGTTCTTTCAATGCTTCTTTATTCTGTTTGTGTTTTTCATTAAAGTGAGCATTAAAGACCAGTGTAGAAGAGAAACAGCAGTACATTTTATTCAAATATATAAACACGAGCCAACTGTTAAAGACACATATGACACAAGATATTGGCTGCATAAATAAGAAAATGTGCAAATGATGAAAACTAATGACAGATATTATGTGTGAACACTTTTCTCTTAATCTGATTTATAGATGCCAAATACAATTAAAACAAAAACAAAAAACTGCAAAAATGGCAGATTAAGGATTCTGAACATTAAGTGAAAAAATACACCCAATAATTCTTTTTAAAAGAGTTTCAAGGAGCACAGGTCATTCCAGGGGGCTCATGCCCTGGCTTTTCTTTCAAGACACCGTCTGACGAAAGCCCTCTCGTCCCACTGGTTGGGGGAGAGCATGTGGGGGCCGTTATGGATGCAAAGGATGGTCATCTCCTCGGCGTACGTAAGATTCTGCAGCAGCTGTAGGCAAACACAGCAGGAAGAAATTAAGAGCACTGGGCTGTCGTGCATTCATATAAAACAAAAAAATATTTCAAGATTAAATGAAATAAAAAACCTAATACTATTATCTGAATACACTGAGCTCTTTAGAACCCATTCTTTTACAAACATTTGTATGGCTAAGTGCTTGATTTTATATACCTGTGGCAATCTGACTCAAAGATGAAGTGATGCAGCCCAATACTTTAGTCCAAACAGTCTGACTATTTGGCATAAAGTGGCACATAAACAGCTCCTTGGTACCGCTGGGACTTTCAGACAGGCAGTCTGCATGAACATAGAACACTTACTTTAGGTGTTATGAAGAAGTACTGGGACGTTGTCTCTTTGCAGGCTGTGCGGACCACAATGTCAAAGACTCTTCTTTCATTTACAGGATCCATTCCCTGCATAAAGAAACAGGTGGGCTCAGACTCTTTAATAAAGGCAATTGATGACTACTGTTGTGTGAATGCCTGTCGGCGTGATCTGAGTTCTATTTATTAAAGTTGTTAAAATGTTAATTTCATGAAAGCAGCGGCACATAAGCTGAGCTCTTTTCAAATCTGTCTGTGTGAAGTGGTTTGCACATAAATAAATGTGTGCAGGAAAAGAAAAAAAAAAGTGCAGTAAAGAGAAACTCGTACCTGGGTTTCCCTAATAATTACACTACCTGCAGCTCATGTGCACCTTTGTTACGGTCGCACTGTTGAGACTGTGTGTAAGAACTACCTGATTGATCTCATCCACCACTCTGAAGGGACAGCGGTTGAGCTCCTGCAAGGCCATGAGGTAAAGCATGGTGGAGACGCTGCGCTCTCCTCCACTCTGATGGTAAGGCGTCAGCTCGTGGAGCTGGGTGGTGGCGTGAAACTTCACCCGGATGCGGATCCCGTACTTGTCGTACTCCTCCTGCAGTGGAAAGACCCAGTATTCTCTTTTTTTTGTTTCTAAAGACACTCATAAAAATCGTATCCACTCACAAAAAAGTGGATACGATTTTTTGCGAGTGATATTTAATCATCAATAAATCTACTGAATTGATGTGAGTACGACCGCATGAGAGATAACTGTCCTACCGCTGATAAACTGGACAATTTAAGTTGAATTATTTTAAGTCTAGAGGACACTAATATATTCAGTTAAACTAAATTCATGCTGAATTATGA